TTTTTTTTACTTTTTGTTACACTTATTAGAGTATGTGATGAATAAGAAGATTAACCAAACCATTTGAGATACCAAAAGATGTAATCTATATTTATAAACATGATAAAATATAAATAATGCTCTCCAAAGATGTTGATTATGAAGTTTATGAAAAATGATAAGCTATGAAAATATATCAACAAGCATCTTTAAAAAACCTAGTACGTAACCCGTGCGATGCACGGGACAAAAATATCACTTGAGCTATTTTCACAGCATTGTCCGTTTAAGTCTAAAAAGTAATAATGTTAATATCTATTTTCTACCTCTTTTAATCAACGTTAAGTCTAAAAAATTATTAAGCCGCCCTCTGGCAAATATGTATGAAGTTATGTGTTCGTGTCTCATAAGTCACAAACATTGTGAATAACATTACAAATTATTCATTCAAACTTTTATTCATTCTAAATATATTAAAATAGTTTATATAACAGCCATTGAATACTACATTCAATATATTTAAGAATAAAAAGTACGTAAAATTTCTGGTGTGTTCAAATTTAAATTTTTTTTATGGGCTCAATTGTAAATCATCCAGACATTTAGTCAAACGCATAGGTGTGTTCAAATTTAAATCATTGGCATTTTGGTCGGTGGAATTAAAATCATCTACCATGGTACTGTGATGTGTATTATATTATATATATATATAATTTTTAAACAATTAATATGTGCTTTATAACAATAATAATAATAACTTCACAAGATTTTAAACGTAAAATTTAGTTTTTAATTACAACAGAAAAATCATGGTAAGTTGTATTGAAAATGTATTATGAGATAAAATAATTAACTAAAGTAATTAAATAAAATATACTTGATAGAAATAGAATGTATAATTACCTTTTCACTTTTCTTACAACTAATCCTAATAAATAGAATGCTTTTTTATATAAGAATAGATAGATTGTTGGTAGTTTAACATATTACTTAAAAAAAATACCCATCATTTTTTTTTATGTTTTAGGAAATCTATTTTTATTTATTTATTTATTTATTTTGTAAAAGTGATAATTAAAATAAAAAAAAATGCATAAATAAATAACTATAAGAAACAATTGTGAAAATGTAGCTGCTGAAAAAGTCATGGATTGGGGGGGGGGGCCAGCAGTGTGTACTAAACAGCTGATGGTATTGTGAAGTTTAAATACCGTTGGATCATCTTATTTTAATCTAATGGTTCTGATTTTATTTATTATTTATCTCTTTTCCTTTTTTTTTTTTTTTTTTTTTTTTTTTTTTTTTTCAATTCCCGTTCATTTTCCCTTCATTTCCCAACCCAAAACCTTTCCTTTTCCCTTCCCTTGTAAACCCTATGCACCAACACACCTTGTACACACTTTTTATCATTCTGAGTTCATCGAGTACAATCGCCCGTTTATTTTTTATTTTTTATTTTTTTGTTTCTCTCTGTTCATCTTCTTCTTTAAGCTTTCTGGAATTATTCTTCGATTGAATCTACAATCTCACACGCGGATTCAGAAAAGGAGGCGGCTCAATGGAGATGATGCAGATGTCCGAGGAAATAAGACGATTGATTGCTACAAGCTTTGCTCAGATGGAAGCTCGGATGGCTCGGATGGGAGCTCGGATGGAATCTGAGTGCCATACTTTGATGGAAAGCTTTGCTCCGATGGAAGCTCGGATAAAATCTCGGTTCCATACTTTGAATGAAAGCTTTGCTCGGATGGAATCCCGGTTGGCAACTTTGGAGGAGAGAGTGGATTCGAATTACTCCACACTTATGACACTTGTACTGCTTCCATATATCAGTTGAGAATTTTTTAGTGAACTTTTGATAAGTAAAACAGCTGATCACTAAGTTGCTTATTATTATTATTATTTTTTTTTTGTTTTCTTTCTGCACATACAGACAAGCATACAACAGTATAATAGTAGACTGCAATCAGAGCTTCTGGCAACAAACGAGGAGAAGGAGAAGGAGAAGGAGAAGGAGAAGGAGAAGGAGAAGGAGAAGGAGAAGGAGAAGGAGAAGGAGAAGGAGAAGGAGAAGGTAGTCCAGGCTCTATCGGCTGAAGTTGCAAAATACAAAGAATGCATAGGGAAATCCATTGCCGAGTTAGACAGCCTGACAACTAGTGCAACTGATCTTGAGGTACATTTGGAAATACCAGTATGTGATGAACAATCACACATGCAATAACAAATTAATAACATCTTTCTTGTTAATTTTGCAGTCGACATGTTTGTCTCAAAGTGAGCAAATAAGAAGATTACAGGAGCAGCTTGCTTTTTTAGGAAAGAAATTGAAGGTCTTTTGATTTGATTATGGTTTTTTTTGTTGTGTTTCTTACTAACAGAACCGTGGCACTGTTAGAATTAGTATTGAGGCCAAGTTTTTTTCTTCTATTAGCTATCTGATATGTCGGCATTGGAGGTCAGATCTGAGCTCGAGGAACAGAAGACAATCATTTTTGAGTTACAGAATCTTTTGGCTAATGCAAAGTCAAAGATTGTAGAAGAGGAAAAACTTTGCAAAAAATTGCACAACACAATCCTGGTATCAGTGATCAGTTTTGATATAAATTCTTTGACTGCATTCAATCATTTTGGAGAATATATTATATAACACTATGTGGCAATATCCTGTCTTTCTGTTCTTTCATTGAGCATGATTTCTTGCTGATGGCAGGAGTTGAAAGGGAACATCCGTGTCTTTTGTAGAGTGCGGCCCCTTCAGTCCGATGATGGAGTCGGAAACGATGCTAAAGTTGTCTCATTTCCAACGTCAACGGAAACATTGGGACGAGGCATTGATTTGGCACACAACGGTGAGCATAGTTGTTGAATGTTTTTATGTGTGTGCCTTGGATACGAATAAACTTTGCTTTACTTAATTTCACACTACTTGACAATAACTTATCAGGACAAAAGCTTTCTTTCACTTTCGATAAAGTGTTCATGCCCGATGCTTCTCAGGAAGATGTTTTTGTGGAGATCTCACAGCTTGTTCAGAGTGCACTTGATGGCTATAAGGTCATAATCCCAATGAACTCTTATATTGACCCCTGATAATTAAGAACTATATAAGTTCTGGTTGATGACACTGGTTTCTACAGAACCAAAGTAATTTCAATAAACCTTTTTCTGCTAATGAACATCATCCTTCCTGCTTTGAGATATTGCAAGCAATTGATATCTGTGTATTCCTTATTTATTATTATAATCTCAAGCCATTTCTTAATGATTACATGGTTTGCAGCGGGTTATATATTTTATCTTTATTATTCCTTTTATTTGATTGCTATTTTTTAGTTGTGTTAAAAGTAACCACCGGTTTGTGAAAAATGAGGGGTTAGATTGGAAACTGGTAAATGTGCTCATTGCTGACTTATAATAATCATATCGATGTATTTCATGTCAGGTATGCATCTTTGCATATGGCCAAACAGGTTCAGGCAAGACCCATACAATGATGGGTAAGCCAGGACTACCCGATCAGAAAGGTCTCATTCCAAGATCACTAGAGCAGGCGTTCGAGACGAGGCAAATTCTTCAAGCCCAAGGATGGAAGTATGATATGCAGGTACATGGAGAATTTCTCCTATTTACTATGTTATGTTTGGCTCAGTTATTCACTGTTACCCTTTTTTTTAGGTTTCAATGCTTGAGATATATAATGAAATGATTCGTGACTTACTAGCACCAAATAGAACAGGCTCTGATGCCTCGAGAGCAGAAAATGCTGGAGAGCAATATGCAATCAAACACGATGCCAATGGAAACACTCACGTTTCTGATCTAACTATTGTGGATGTTCGAAGTAGCAAGGAGGTTTCTTATCTCTTGGAAAGAGCAGCCAGAGCAGGTAGCTGGAATTACATGAATTTTCTCATCCCTTTGTTACTTATTATTGTATCACTCTTAATACCTTACAACTCTTAGAATCATTGTGAAAGTTCAATCTTCCAAATTCACTGATCCAAGACTTTGATGTTTTGATTTTTATGAAATTTTAAGGTCTATAGGAAAGACTCAAACGAACGAACAGTCTTCAATGAGTCACTTTGTCTTCACATTGCGAATAATGGGTTTTAACGAGGTATACCTAGTGTTGCTCGACTCAAACTTATTATATTTCCTTTAAGATTAATTACAGCCGCAACTTACAAAATACTATTTGCATTTGTTGTGTTACTAGAATACTGGCCAACAAGTGCAAGGTGTCCTTAACCTGATTGACCTTGCTGGTAGTGAGCGTTCGTCTAAGGGTGGATCTACAGGGGATCAACTGAAAGAAACTCAGGTAAGATGGATCTTTTCCAAATTCATCGAAAAGAATTGTTCTCTTTTAGAAGAATATGTTTGTTTACATTAGAAGGATCTTGCTTTTTCTCTCAGTTGCTAATCTTTTGAATCCATTTTACCTAGGCCATCAATAAGAGTTTATCATCATTAAGCGACGTTATATTTGCTTTGGCCAAGAAGGAAGAACATGTGCCTTACAGAAACTCCAAGCTAACCTATCTTCTCCAGGTATAGTTGTTTAACTGAGGGAAATACTTGGGTTTTAGAGTATTTCGTGGCGTTTACACCTAATTAGAGTAATTATGAAAAATTTCTTCTTCATGACTATAGCTTGGAGAAGCAGAACTTTTCTCTTTCTTCTCTTGAGTTAGGTTGATGAAGTTAAAGAACTTCTTGTCTGACATTTCTAGCTATTTTTTCTCTAATTTGAATGTCAGCTAATATGAAGTAAAGGTTTCCTTTTTCATATCCGAGTCAATCATCAGACCTTAACTAGCTGAAACTGGAATTTTTGCATGTCTGAGTCGGACCATGGCTTTAGCTGTTAATTTCTTTGATCAGGAAAGTTTTTAGACTGAACTCTTTTCTGTTGTCTTCCCAGCCTTGCTTAGGTGGAGACTCGAAGCTTTTGATGTTCGTTAATGTTTCTCCGGATGCTTCATCAGAGGGTGAATCACTTTGTTCACTTCGGTTTGCAGCTCGTGTGAATGCTTGTGAATTTGGGGTCCCAAGACGCCAAACGAACCTAAGATCATAATCAGATTCTCGTTTGAGCATTGATTGATTTTTCCTTTTTTTTTTTTTCCTTAATGGAACAATAGTTATCTAGATTTAGAAATGTGTGTCGAATGTATCAAGGCATTTATTTGTAACCGATTTACATATGGCGCTTCTAACCGTTATACCATTTGTTTCTTTTCCTTTTGGGTAAAGATATATTGGCATTTGTATTGGTTTTCCATAGGCTTTCCATCTCTTGTTACTTGCAAAGATTTACTATTGTGATGATTAAATCAACTTTACAGATTAGATTATCATCGTATAGATCGCCGAGATAAGTTCAATTTGATGTGCAGAGTATAAGATCTCAAAGCAATCTCAAACACATTTCAAAAAGCAGCAAACATTCATCGACAGTAAAATGCTCTAAAGAATTCAACCCTTTCGGGTCATGACTCATGCCCTCTACAAGAACATTTGTAGCAAAGTACTTAAAAAAAATAAAATAGAAAGGTATTAGCTTAAACGGTATAATATTGACTTCTTCAAACTGACTTCTTCAAACTATGAAACAAATGTTGAAATATTACCACTTTTTTTTGTACGAGTATGAAATAAATGACACAATTATCCTTACAGCTAGAAACCCTTTTTGGGGAATCTAGGACTCCGGAAATAGTTTCTAGACATTGTGACTATATATTTCATTGAAATTCATTGTGACACAATTTTATATTATTTCACTGTGTGTTCGAAATAGTTTTGTAAGATAGTATTACTATCGAGGATTATAATGATGCAGGTCGGCCATGTAGTTTAGTACTCGAATGGATGGACTTGTACCGCGATACTAGGCCCATGGCTCGCTATGGGTCTATTAGGTGGCCCATTGATTTTTGTATTGTGTTTATATTTTTGTCGACTTTTCGTTACACTTATTTGAGTGTCTGATGAATAAAGAGATTACCCAACCATATGAGATACCTAAAGTTAGTAATCTATATTCATAAACATGATAAAACATAAATAATGCTATCCAAAAATGTTGATTATGAAGTTCATGATAAAAGATAAGCTATGAAAATATATGCAACCATCTTTCTTTTATGTTGCATAAATATAGTTCCGCTCACCTGCCCACGGTGGGAAATGAAAAACGTATTCTGAATACGTTTTTCATTTAAGTGGTGGGCACTGCCCACCGTGGGCAATGAAAAATTTTTCATAAATAAATAACTTTAAGAAACAACTGTGAAAATGTAGCTGTGAAAAATCGGCTCGCCAACCATGACCAATGGCAAGCAAGGGGTTCGGAGAAATCACAGGGCGAGATCAGTAACTGCTGAAAAAAGTTGAAACCCTAGCCCGCATAAACACACTCTTCTCGAAGAAATCTCAGTCAAACTTTCCTTGATCATCTTCCAGATTTCTGATTCTAGAATCAGACGCTTGATTGCTGACAGGTACCTCGTCTTTGATGTTCACCATTATTCGCAGGTTTCAGAATTCGTCTCGATTTTCAGATGAATTTTTCATTTTTCACCTGCTTCGTGCTGCTGTGCCCGTCGCTTATTGTTTAAAGCTTGATGCTTTTGTCCTATCCTTTGTTATTTCGGATACATGTTTGGTTAGATGATTGAGTGATTTACCTGCTGTTGGATAATCTCTTTACTTATTCATGTTTTGTTGTTGGAAATGTTTCTATTGTTTTGAGTAGAGTTGTCATGGGGGATCGAGTTATACTTTACGTAATCGGTTATGTGTGTGGGGAAGTATAGTGTTCTGGGTTAGTAGGCTTTTGGTAGGTAGCTAAGGTGGAAATTTGGAAACGAATTCGTGCTATTTTTTGTGAGCCTATCACTGGACTGTCAAGTGAGTGAGACTTGATAGTGTTGAAAAACTTCATCTCTGTTCTTTAAAATGAAGTAACAATGTTATATCTGTCTATTTTAGTTTTATTTTGTTCAGGATGTTATAATTAGTGAAGGAGATGAGAAATGAATTTTGGATTATCAACCAAGTGTGTGGGCCTGCTCTGGGTGGCTTGTAATACAAATTTCTGAGGCATGGTTTTTACCTTAAAAGCGAATACAGTTTCCGTTAGATTTTGAACGGGGCATAATGATTTCATTTTTTTTTTTTTTTCTTTTGTACAAGTTTAAGTGTGCTTTGTGGATTTCAAAGTTTGGTTATGAAGGCAGCATATAATGATTTAAGCGCATATCGTTGTTAATTATTCATTTTTTGTTCTGTTCCAGTGGAATTTAGCAAACACAGTTGCTCTCATGTTTTCTTCCTTCCTCCCAGTGACTCTCCTTATACTTGTATGTACTGAAAAGGGTTGAGAATCTTGATTTCTCATGGAGAGAAGAAGGTTCTCTGGGATTCTCTAAAGATATCGTGCGTTATCTTGGCTTTCTTGTCTGGGGTTTTTCACATTTTCTTTCTTTAGGAGTTGTGATGAACTTGAAAATCCACGCTGTTGCTCGATGGGTAACGTTTAATGTTCTATATCGTTGTAATGTGCTTTGTGATGGCTATTTTATGTTTTCCAAATTATTGATTGTTTCAGGTGCACTGAATTGGCCGCAAACATGGAGGACGGCTTACTGTTTCCATCTGTATTCCAGAAGCTACACGGACAATCTTATTTATTTTCCCGTATTTCTTCTCAAGCCCACTCCCGAAACACTGGTTTGCACCATTTGAGTGTTGCTTATGTCAATGGAGGAGTTCATAGCCTCTCCTCACCGTCCTTACAAAGAACTGGCCTGGAAACTGGTCCACAATTCTCATCTTTCCTTATACAGGCTCCAGCCGAGAATGAAAAAGGGTTATCTGGATTTATGGTGGATTTCCTCATGGGAGGTGTTTCTGCTGCCGTATCCAAGACTGCAGCAGCCCCAATTGAGAGAGTAAAACTTTTAATTCAAAATCAGGATGAGATGATCAGAGCTGGTCGGCTGTCTGAGCCTTACAAGGGAATTTCTGACTGTTTTGCCAGAACCATTAAGGATGAAGGTATTCTTTCCCTTTGGAGAGGCAACACTGCCAACGTTATCAGATACTTTCCTACTCAGGTTGATGATCTACAGTTTCGTAGTATTAATAATTTTTATTGTTTGATTTAGATCTGCTTATTGTAACCCTTTCGTTTTAAAACTAATCAATAATGGCCAGTTTAGTACCAATTACAATCTCATTTTGCGATGATAGGCTTATCAAGTGAGTTACTGATGGCTCTGATTGTGTGTGCCTGCAGGCCCTCAACTTTGCATTCAAAGATTACTTCAAGAGACTGTTTAACTTCAAGAAGGACAAAGATGGATACTGGAAATGGTTTGCCGGGAACTTGGCATCTGGTGGTGCTGCTGGTGCCTCATCTCTCCTGTTCGTTTATTCACTTGATTACGCCAGAACACGTTTAGCGAATGATGCTAAGGCAGCAAAAAAGGGTGGAGAGAGACAGTTCAATGGCTTGATTGATGTTTACAGGAAAACGGTTAAATCCGATGGTCTTGTTGGACTTTATCGTGGGTTTAACATCTCTTGTGTTGGCATTATAGTTTACCGTGGGCTCTATTTTGGAATGTACGATTCACTGAAGCCGGTTGTTCTAACTGATACATTGCAGGTATGTATACTAATGAAACTTGATTTATAATTTTATACTGTATATATACTATAGGTTTACTGTTCGTGTCATGGAATTTTATGTTAGAAATTTGTGTGTCGTGTTATTGATGGGTAGATTATTTTGATAAATTCATCAGTATATCTTTCCGAATATGTGCTTCCACAATTATTTAGCTTAATTGCATTGCATGGAATTAAGGGTCTGTTTGGTAAGTATAAATGAAAAGCTAGCTGAAAACCAAAAGCTTAAAAGCTACCAGCTGCAAACTTATGACTTTATTTTAAGCTATAAGCTAATTCTCAAAAACACTACTATGAAGAAAATAAGAGCTTTTTTTTTACAAGTGGGCTAAAAGTAGGCTTTTTCCGTAAATTATGCTTGGTATTCGCCGTGTTCTTATAACACAAGTTGCTGCTTATCTCGCGTTATTCACGCACTTCTCTTGATATTGATACTTTCAGGATAGTTTTCTAGCTAGTTTCTTGCTGGGGTGGGGTATCACCATTGGAGCTGGCCTGGCGTCTTACCCAATCGATACCGTGCGTAGAAGGATGATGATGACATCAGGCGAGGCGGTCAAATACAAGAGCTCGATCGATGCATTTTCCCAGATCGTCAAGAAAGAAGGGACCAAATCGCTCTTTAAAGGTGCTGGAGCCAATATATTGAGGGCTGTTGCAGGTGCTGGTGTGCTGGCTGGCTACGATAAATTGCAGGTTCTCGTTTTTGGTAAGAAATATGGATCAGGTGGCGGTGGTTAACGTCGATAATGGTGAATGTGGCGGGTGATAATGACGAATAAGTGGTCTTTGTTTTTGGTGTGTTGTCTTTGTTTATTGGTGCGTTTTCTGATGAGCTGGAGATCGTTTATAAGTTGATAGTTGCATGAGTTCGTGGAACTTTAGAGTACTTATGTGAGAAATCGTGGACTTTTTGTTGGCCTAGTGACCACAATGAGGTGTGTTTTGGATTCTGTTGTACTTTGTGAAATAATGATCTCTTTGCAAAACTTTGCATTCTCAGTCTCTTCCAGGCAATGTGACTCACTTACTGGTGAAATTGTGGGTTGAGTTTTATTTTTAGTGTAAATTTATGTGAAATCATATTTTTTTTTTAAAAAAAAAAAAAAAAAAAGTTGGTTCCTTGTCCTGTCCAGTTGACTACGAAAAGCCAAAATTAGGCAGGCCGTGCTATTGAATTATTAGAAGTTGAAAAGGAAATTGAACAAATTCAGTTGAATTTGGCCAGTTAAGCCTAATTGTGGTGTGCTTATTTAAGCCTACATAGTACGATGCTGCACTGTGATGTACGTGCTTTGTAATGTTAAATTGTATGAATATGTATTACTACCTCCTATTTTAAAATAGATGTCGTTTTGGGATGTTGCACATCTATTAAGAATATTTTTTTTGTCAATAATAACCTTATTTAATGATGATAGAGATTAATGTTTTGAGAAAAAGATGAAGAGTGATTATAAAAAGTCGTGATGTATTTATTAGCTAAATGAGGGTAATAAAGGAAAAATATGTACAAAAGATCCAAAACGACATTTATTTAGCAAATAGTTGATAAAACTAAAAGGACATTTAAAAAAAATAGGAGGGAGTACTATTTTTCTAAATAAAAAATCTTCTCTTATATATAATAAATTATAGTTGAAAAATCAAGTATGTATCATTTTATTTATGCCCATGATATAGCTAAACATGTGAATATTTAGACTATGATAATTTTAATGTATTTTTTGGACTATCAGTATATAATCAATGTATTGTTCTTTTATGCCTATCTTAATTTTTAAACCTATCAATATTTGGACTAAAAAATAGTTAGTTTCCAGAAATTTCCAATTGAAAAGTAGATACTACTTCTACCTAAAAAAGTCAAAAGTATAATCATGCACACATAACATATTCAATAGGGAAATATTACGGTGTTGCATAAACAATTCATCGGAATTTGTAATTGTTAGATCAATTATTCTTGATGATTACATAATGATCTAATAATTAAAGTTCCAATGGGTCCGAAACAGACTTCTCCCTTAACTAGACATGGCCACGGCCCGAACCGGCCCGTGGCCCGAACCGTGAACCGGTACTGGCCCGGCCCGAACCGGCACCGGCACCGGCATGAACAGTGGCCGGTTAGTGAACTGGACCGAGCCCAAAGCGGGCCGGTTACGGTTCTCCCTTT